ATGACGGAATAACTGATGGTTAAAGACTCCTCTCCACCACAATAATCCAAGCACTGGAACTGAAGCCACATGACCACTTGGTCAGCATATTGAAAAACAGAGAATTTTTCTGGGAGACAAATGGAAGAAAAGACACTGAGCAAGATGAAGCCACACTGGCTCACTTCCAGTATGGGATCCCAAAATGAAGGAGCATTGACCATCAGGGAGAGGATCCCAGATTACCTAGGAAACGCTACACAAAAGTGACATCCCCCAGTCTTCCTGGGTAGTACTTACCTGGGGGCTTGTTGATAGCTTCTTTTATATAAAGCAAATTCTAAAAACAAAACAAACAATACTTACTGTGCATTCAAACAGGAAAGCCATGGAAGAAATTTAAATCCAACCCTCTCAGTGTTCTTTCCTTATCATCAAATAAGAAATGTAAGCATAGAAATAGTACCTGAGTATCTGCTGTTTTTTATTTTACATACAGGAGGCATTTCCTAATGTGATGAGTGGTGTTCATTAAGGGGTAATCAGTGTTAAGCTGGTATAGTCTAGTAAAAGAAATAATAGAGTTCCTAGTAACAAAGCCTACTGATGTCGAGAGGAACCTCACTGGATGCCAAGTAGTAGAATGAGTGCAAAAGCTTGACGCATCAGCTCCATAAAAAAGAGGTTTGTGTGAAGTAGAGAAAGAGGGCTTGCCGTCTACTACCAATTAAGTGATTACTATTATGGGAGCTAAAAACTCTTCAAAATGAATAAATGGGTTACACAGAATAGGGATTGTCATTTAAGTAGAACATTCTAACTTTGCTTCAGATCATGGGAATTCTACAAAATCACAAAGGAGAGAGTTAGCTGAACAAAATAGTTTAATGGGAAATTTATTTCAGAAGGGAAGCTAAGGAGAATTTCTGGAGTTAAGTAATGACATTTAAAATTACAAAACGTTTATATAAAAACAATGTCCAATAACAAAGTTAAATAATAATTTTCAGAAAGACCCAGAAGAATCTGAGATAGACACCTGAGGCACTTTAGAAAAAGGAACAAAGAAAAATGCAAGCTCTTTCTCTATAGGAAATGATTAGAATAGAATTTGACCTAAATTAAAGGAAAATATTACACATACCCATGAATATAAACACAGGAAAACACACACACACACACACACACACACACACACACACACACACACACACACACTTCTTCCTACCTTAGAAATCCTCCCAAAGACTGAGATCAAAATGTTACCTCTGTTCTTTTTCTAGTCTAATTAAAACATGAAATGTTGCCTATTGCCTGTTATCAGCTTATGCATATTATGGGTTAAATAGAAAAATTAATATTAATTGACGGTGTCACTTCACTGCAACATTTATTTTACTAAGTCAGAGAAATAGTGATTGCTAAAATGAGGCATAGCTCCAAATTATATACTGTACCATATATGCTAATCTGGAAGGAAAAGCCTTAGTCTAAACCAGTGTTCCCATAAAAAGATGCTCTTAGAAACCCTAAAATTTAAGCTCCATTCCAAAAATTAAATTATACATCAAAATATTTTCTCAGAGTATGCTTTTTAAGCTATAAAAAAGATAAAAAGTTATAAAATGAAAAAAAATAAAACTCCAATTATAAAACTGCCTCACAAAACCTCCATTGTGTTTCTAATTCTTTCCTTGATTTTATTTAGATTTTTTTAAAACAAATTTGAGTGGTTGGAATTATCTTTTTAATTTAAATTTCATAACGAAGGATCACAATGCACATTCCCACACCAGATTGTGTGTGGCCTATTTATACGAAATGTTGGATTCCATATGGATTTCTTCTCTTTTATTTATAACTTCCAGAAAGGATTCTCTCTAATAAGTTAGCAGCTCAAGGGCAACCAATTTGAAATCCAGGCCCTGAGGGCACAATACTTCAGGTCTGCCACCTGCGATGTTTTCTAGACGGACCAGGGAAGGCTCACAAGGCTTGCATTTCTGTGTGAAGCATGAACAAAATGTGAGCCACAAGTGGGTGGTCCACGGAGGTCAGGGTTAAAGTTCACAGAATAATTTGGAAATTATTCTCAGCTTGGATCTCATTTATGAAACCTGAGCATACACCCTTTAATTAGAATACAATTTCCAAAGCAGCCACTCCCTTGACTTTCCAGAGCTCAGTTATTCTCAGAAAAGTAAAAACAGCCTCATCACACTGACAGCTAACAGTCCCCTAAAAATTATGCCTCAAATGTCCAGCAGAGAAGACGGCAGGCAGCAGAGACAATGGAGACATGAGCTGCCAGACCTCACCAACCACTCTCAAGGATAGAGGAAAAGAAGTCATATTAAACCCTCTACTTCACTTGCTTATACAGTTGAGCTGTCCCATGGAAGCTTGGAAAAAGAGTGGGCTGTGCATTTGAAAATGTTCCCACACCCTAGCTGGCCTCATTTTTCTGATGATCCCTCCATCCAGCCAAGCTCGCATTACAGTGGGAATACTAAAATCAGTTCCATGAGAGGCAGCTGTCTGCCTCTTCCACAGTGCTCAGGGAGCCACACAGGACTCCTGGACCGGGAGCCGGCCCAGACCTGACTCACTGCCCATGTTCTGAGCCAGAGCCTTCTTCCCACGGCCTGCTGTGATCACAAAAGACATACAGGGCCCCCCAAACTAGATCCCGAATCAAGAGGAAAAACAAACATTTCCCTAACTTTGGGGTTAAGCAAGACAAACATTAACTTATATAGAAATGGCCAACAAATCTATGGGGAAGGCCAAAGAAAGAGATTCAGGCAGCTTTGCAGAGTTCAGTATGGAGGAGTTGGAATAGCAGAAACTATCACAATATAAAACTTTCAAATGCTATCCTGACTTAAGTCAGGTTTAAAGATGACATAAAATGTTCCATTTCAGCAAATGCAGAAATCAAGGTTTTCCACAGACCCCACAAAGTTGCCTTTATCCAGAAAAGTATAACCAGGAAAATAACAAAAATAGAGTTTTTGAAATTTGTAATCAGAATTCAGAGTGAGCTGCCCCCAACAAACATTTGGAAATTTTTCCCAGGTTATGTTTCAGGCAGGAGCAGCCTTATTGTCTTTGGTCATTATCTTTGGGATATCCATTCAGCTGCCAGGTTTCCCACCAGCCCTCCCAGAGGGGTGCCATAAATCTCCCTGCCTCTGCACCCCTCCAGTGCATAGGAGGAGGCAAGCAGACAGAGGTTCCCAACTGCTCCAGAGTCCCATGGTACAGGTGGCCTCATTATCTCAACAAAAAAACCTATTTCATGCAATTTACAATTTATTTTATCACTGTCCACTTAACCATTATAGACAATACAGGGAATAGTTCATTTTAAATCCATTACCTTTAATGGTAAGAATCCCGTGACTAAACCAAGCTTAACCAAGTAGCGTAAACAAATTTTGAACGCATTAACATGACTCTCAATATCCTTACAAGAGCTTGCATTTTGGGTTTTGACTTGTAAGTCTTATTGATGCTTTCCTTGCATGGGCCTTGGGAAAGACTAGGGAAATAAATCAATTCAATAAAACACACACAATTAAAATTCTGTAACTGTGGGGAAAAACAAAAAAAGAAACAATCACGTCTTCCAAAAGGTGGAGGTAGAATTATTTTTAAGAGCTCTTCTAACTCTAACTCTTGTTAGGAAACCACAGATAAAACATGCCAGGATCTCAAAACAAAACCCTAAGTTTTACAATAGCAGAGACAATAGTTAGATAGAAGACAACCAATATATGTTTTTGGGATAAATGTTTACTTGAAATATTGTTTATTTGGAAAAGCTATTATCAATCTTGCTCTTCACTGATTTATGAGCCTCATTTCCTTCCTATTTGCATCTGGATACAAAAGTGTAGAAAGCCAAAATGGTTCTAAAACTACACTAATGTGCCCATTTTTAGAGTTTTTGTTTGAAAATTTGACATGATTTTATTGGTATCATTTATTTTCTAGCAAATTGGTTCTTTCCTTTTTTATTTTCCCTGCTTTATTCTGTTTGGTTTCAATTAGGGACAGACATTGGCCATTCTAGAGACTAGAGACAAAAGGGAACATTCTGCCAGTAAGTATAACACGCAAAGCAAGAGAGGCTCTATATTTCTTGTGGTCCAAACTGAAGAACTAAATTTTCAAAATAGTAAAACAACACCTGGTTCCCAGAAAGGAATTCTCCTCTGTCCACTCTGGAAAACGGAGCATGAGACATAGTAACTCAGTTACCATGAATAAGGGAAGTACTGACTCCTGTGCTCTTCCAGCTGTGGCACAGCAGCGATCTTAATACTTACATGTTTACTACAGAGAGTAATTCATGTGGTAAATCCATCCTGCACCCACCTGGGGTAGCTTAGAGACCAGAATTTACACTTTAGGTCTAGAGGGAACCTGGCATGGAGTCGGCGTTCTCAGCAGCACCCAGGAGACACTGGTGTTTCTGGGCATTTCCAGAGTAAGGCAAAAATACACCAATGCTTTTGTATATATTCTACAGAGCAATTTTAGGAAGAGGAGGAGAATAAAAAGGAACCAAGTAGTGATAAAAATGTTAATTGTGAGAGTCTGGAATCATTTGGCTCAAAAAACAGGGACCACAATGGCATTAGCAAAGCTCTAATTATTGTCCTTCACTGTTTTTTTCTTTCGTTTTAGAGCTTCACAGTCCATGTACATTTAGTATTGTCTGACATCCACTTTGTCACTGCTCAAGAAAGAATTAAGTTTTGTCTAAATTTCTCTTGAGAACCGAGTGAGTCTAAAATTTTCAGGTCAATTCTTGCTTTCTAAATAAAGGATGAAAACTGACAGTATTGTTTGTAACCTAGTTTTGCTCTGTATTTTGCAGTACTCAGGAAAACACTTTCAGATAAACTCAGCTGATTTATAGATTTCCAGCAGAACTATATGGGACAACTAATGAGAGCATGTTATCATAGTCCTATCCCCAAATGATCCCAATTTGCTCTATAAATACTTACTTCGGATAAGTTTGTCATCTGAACAATTTCCCCACGTTGACTGGTCATGTGTCTCTCCGTGTGTAAAACAGCTATTGGTAGCATGAGTTACATCTCTCTCAGTATTTTCTTTATCACATTTTTCTGAATAAGAAGAAAGATTTATTATCATTAAATGTTACCTAGGTTCTCCATTTCTTTCACTTCTTAGATTTTTTTCCCCAAATGCTTCCAAGTCTGCCATAACTTAAGGAAATGGGAGTAGTACCTCTATGGACTGTTACATACGCTTTTGATTCAATAACAGATATTAATTGGGCTCCTACTATGTGACTAGCATTGAAGAAACAGAGATGTTTAAATAATGTTTAAAGATGTTAAAGAATTTTTAAACACAGGTGTAAAAACAATCTGTTAAGATTTCTATAAACAAACCATCAGAACAGAGCAAGTGATCTGCCATGATAGAAAAATGTGGAAAGGTTCCATGAAGGATGAAAGTGAGTCCACGCCTGTAGAGGGTGGGGCGGCAGGGAAAGCATCAAAGGAGAAGGGCCCCCAGTGAATGGTGGGGATGAAGTCAGACTGCAGGTGAATGTGGAGTGGCTGAGACACAGAGAGTTATGAAAAGCACAGAGCTCTCTGGAAACTTGTGTTAACCTTTCTCAGAGAGGGGGGTGTTTAGGATGAGAGATTTTTCTCATGGGTCTTTAGGTTCTCAAGGGGAAAGCCAGTAGGTAAGGAAAAGAGTAGCATCTCAGTAGGCACATAATTCAAGCAAAAAGCAAACTGTAACACGAGGTAAAATGCACATTATGACAAGTCCAGAGCACCAACAAAGTTCAAAGGAATGAAAAGAAACTTCTCAGGATTCAGAACTCAAGAAAGGCACTATAGAAAAAATGTGCATGTTGAATGGTCTGTAAAAGATTAGGAGGAATTCTAAAAGTAGAATGGTTGAAAGGCCACTCCAGGTGGAACAGCATGGGCTAACTCCACAAGCAGACACTTGGGCAATGTTCCAACTTTCTGGACAGTACTCTAAGGAGAAGGAGATAAGAGGTTTGATTAAACACATGGTCTAGATACTGGAGTGCCAAGATGAGAAATCTGGACCAAATTTAAAAGAAGATATAAGTCAAAGTATCCATTTAAGCTTTACAAATTGCTTAATTGGAGCCATGCACTAGAATGATTAATAAATCTATGTACATCAGTAGTTTTCAATCCTAATTGCACTTTAACTCACTGCGGGACCTTTTTAAGAAAACAGATTCCTCGGCCCCACAACCAAAGATTCTATTTCCATCTGGGGGTGAGGGACTTAGGTAGTTTTATTGCACTTATATCCTTGAGAACTGATGGAGTACAGATGCATCTAAGAGGAAGAACAGAGTTAAAAAGAACTAAAAGGAAGACTTAGTACAGTTCAGGTCAAAGTTGGTGAGAGTTTAATCAACTGATGAGAAAGGGGGTAGGTTGAAGAAAATAATTAGAGGTTTACACAGATGATCAGAGGAAATTGGACTGGAGATGACTGGGTTTCCCTTAGTCTGGATTTGACTGGGAAAACCTGGCAACAAAAGAATAATTTTTTAACTTAAAATATATGTATTTTTATATAGTAGATGTTTAGGCACTGCACTAGGTAGTAGGGATACAAGGACATGCAAGACTCAGCCCAGGCCTTCATGGAGTTTACAAATTTACAGTTTGGTGGATGAGTTTAGTATTGGACATTTGAATTTGCAAGTCACAAATAAAGTTATAGCTAGAAACAGTCATCTTTCTAAACTTGAATGCTGAAGCCATTTAAATGGATGGGCTCATGAAAAGAGTGAGTATATTAAAAGAAGAGTACCAAGAGGGGTCTGTAAAACTAAAAAGGAGCCACAGAAGGTAGAGAAGCTGGAAGATGTCAAGTCATGGAAGGAAGGAAAGGAAAGAGATTCAAACAGAAGTTGTTAGTCAACTGTGTTAACATTTCCAGTGGAAGGAACAATTTTCTGCACATAAAAAAATTTCTTATGTACCATGGGGATTTCACAACAATTGAAAAGTTCTGCCATGAAACACATTTCAACACATGAAAATAGATGGACACCAACTTAGGACTCAGTCCAGAGGCTAAGCTCTCTGAAGAAAAAAATAGGGTCTTCAATGCTAAGTATTTTTAGAAAGCAAAATCATATTCAAGTAGCAGTAAAATATAAATTAGAAGCATGCTAAACCAATATGTTCTAAAAGATTTATGTAACATTTACTCAGTATTATCACAGAGAAAAAGTAATCTTCTTGAGATGTGTTAGTTTCAATTAAAATCTTTACTGTTTTAAACGACTCCAGAAATCTTTTCTGTGCTATAGTCAACTCAAGGCCTTCCTGAGTTTATTGCACAAGCTTTTCTCATACAAACTCACTGGTGCACGTGAACAAGCTCATCAGCGGACCCACATACTTGAATGCTACTTTATGTAGCCAACTGCCGCCAGGTGTCAGGCTAGGAGGCTTGATTCAATTAGTAACTTTAATTGAAGCTGAATGAAATTAATTATATAATTTTGAGCTGTTCAAGTTTAATTCCATTAAGATTTATTCATGAAACCAGGGCATTATGAAGCATTGCTGACTAAAAGAAAATAGGTATGAATAAAGCCTCTAGACACACTTGACTCACATTTGAATCACGTCCAATATTCAAGTGCTAAACACAAACCCTTGAAAACTCCCCACTGAATAAATGAAAATGTCATGTGGTCCATACACACACAGATTGAGCAGTGACCTACTACTAAGAGGAAAATAAAGTTCTTTCTGCTCTAAATATTTATTAAGGAAGTTTATCACATTTTTTAAGTTTCCTTATCTATTAAATTCCATAATCAAATGATTCCTCAGAGTCCCTCTCAAGTTAAAAAACAAAAAATATAATTTTGTCTCATTTATTCAATAAATAATAAATAATATGTAATTACTCTTAAATCACAATCATCAGTCTATCCAACTTGACCTTCTTTGAAAACTAAATGTTTTGGCTCAAAAGTTGGTCTTGGGTATTTGCTCTGATCCCTAGCCCCCAGCCCGAAGCCAGACTCAGGGAAGGTTCCAAGTACAAAATTTAAATTGACTTTTGCCAATTCTCCTCTTCTATAAACTAAACTTCTGTAACCACTTGACTATTCCATGACTTTCTAATGTTGGTATATTACTTTATTAACATATCTTTAATCTTTAATGTTTAACGGCACACCTACATAGAATCCTTAAAAATGGGTTCATAGTCACACCTAACATTGAAGAAGTGCACTGACACAGAGCGAGATTTAATCAACAATTTAAGATGGGCACCATGATGCCAGCCACAAAACCAACCTCTCTACATCTTAACACTTGGTTGGGTCAGCCACTATCATTAGGATGACAAGTCAGCAGTTTCTATTAGTAGATTTCTGTTATCAGTGTGGGGTTGCTGTGTCACTTCTGGATTCCAGAAGCAGAGGTGAAAGCCCTGGTTTAACCCATTCCTTCTGGGTTTAATGGGGTTTGTAGTTCCTATTCAACCACCAAGTGGGCCTGGAAGAATAACTCACAGGCAATCAAGTAATTTCAAGCATGTATGAAATCAGTCTGTACTTTCTACAAGATTTCTGTAACTACACCCAGCAAGCACTCCCCACCAACTTAGCAATTTCCTCAAGATGGGAAGCCTTCATCATCTCAATGATGCTATTCCTCTAAGCCAGTGGTTCTGTACTGAAGAGCTCTTTAAACAAAGATGCACAGGTCCCAACGTCAGAGGGGTCAATTTAGGTGCTGTGGGGGACAGGACATGTAGATGTCATCATCATATATGGCCAAGTTTGAGGGACATTGTCTAATGAAGCTCTTCTGTACTACACAATTCAGAGAAAACTTAGAACAGTCTACTGAATATTAACAGATCTTGCATCTCATCACCTTCTCATAGTAGTCCAAGTAATCAGAAATGCAGTTTTATCTAATCACTAATTAATATAGGGGTATTTAGTTCTATCTCCATGTTAGGACAACTAGGAGAAGATAAAACCTGAATTATATATAATACTAAGCAGTTCTAATGGATGGATTTATATGAAGTATGTTTTAGAAATTAAAATAAAAATTGAAGACACTTTAAAAATAGGACTAGACAAAAGGATAGTCGTATAGCCCTGGCGTCTGCTTCCAGAACGCTTGCTCCCAAATATTCCAGGCTGCCTACTCTGAACCCAGAAGAACAAATGAATCTGTGGGTGAGGAAACACATCTTGGTCCCTGACAACAAATCCTCTATCTGGGGAAACCAAACGCTCACACAAAACAATTAGGCAGCTACAAAACAGAAGGTAATGAAAACTGCCCTGGTCATAATTCTGGATCAAACCTGACCAGCTGTGTGGCTGGGGCTGGGCCTCTTCCTCTTCATCCAGAAATGAGGGCCTTGAGCTGGATGGCTGCAGAGATCTTTGCTGGCTCTAAAATTCTGTAAATCTCAATCTGCATAAGGGCTAAACAACACAACCAGATTTCATATACACACTGAAGTGTATTTAGAATGGAGTGGGGGAAACAGAAAAGCCTCTGTAAGGCCCTAATTCAGAAAGAAAAGTGACAAGCATGTATTAAGTAAAAGAAAGGAAAACAAATAAGAGTCCTAACCGATCAACTTAAATACAGTAAGTATGTCTTATTCAGAAATATCTTAAAGAACCAGTACTTTTTACTTTTTGTTGTTTTTCTAAAGGGTATGATAGGTGAGAAACAACCTCTCTCTAATCAGATTATTCTGCTGAAGGTGAATGAGAAAGATTTGGATAAACAGAATTTCCATTTAATTTGAAATTCTATGATTTTTCCTAATTGGCATTTCCTAGAAGTAAAACCTTTGATTGTTTTATGTATCTCAGAGAGTTGAAGAAGAAAATAATTGAATGGTGATTGACAAGAGAAAAATATAAGGGCATTAAAAACAAGTAAAATTGGATAATATATATAAAATATTATATATGCCATATAACAGCCATTCAGCTGGTATATGATTAAGTAAAAAACAAAATACTTCCTTTTGTTGAAAAAATTAGTGAAATTTTGCAATTACATTAGCAGTTCTCAAAGGAATATATATT